AGACCAAGTACTTGCAGTATTTCTCTGCTACCATTACCTACTCCTTGCCCTTGCAAAGTTCACACAAACCCCAGTACACACTTTACAAACTATCACCAGTACCTAAGTTCCGTCAGTAACCTAAACTTCCAATCCAGATAGCCCAGAAGGGCTGTGACCTGCCCCTGGTTTCCACGGTTGGGTCCTTTTCCTCCGGTTACTCAGCCAGCGGCCTTGTTGGTATAGTGTCTTGCCAAACACTGGTCCTCGTCCAAATTACTGAAATCGGTGTCCGGATCCCTTAGATAGCCTTTTACATTGTACCGTCAAAGATCTGTCCTACCTCTCTACTCGGGACTTGCCAAGTGGGCTTCCATGTGCCCCAATATCTGGATTTACACAGCTGTTTCACTCGGGTTTTGTGTAACTCATGTGTCACACTATAGTTCCACAGCTTCTTAATAACTCCTGGTACAACCAAGTTACAGATCCGATGATCTATCAGTTTACACACAGTCTGCTGTAACACATTCTGTAAAATTCGAATTTCATCGCCAGTGTGATTTAAACTCTTGTCCTGCCACTTGGGGATGTGACAACTTGACCACTTCACTAAGTCGCCACACCCAACATTGTTCAAAAAGTTATTATGAAAGTAATATTATTATATATTTGTTTATTTTATTTTAAAAATATTTTAAATTTTTTATAAAATTTTATAATAATTCAGTTTAAATCAGACTTTCTAACCTTTTCTATTTTTGTAGAAGATTTTGTTTTGCAAAAGCTTTCAAAAGATATTATAGAAAACTGGGATAAATATATCTCTTTAACCTTTTTAATAATAATAATATATATTATTATTAAATATTTTTATAGTAGAAACTATTCGTAAGGCTAAATTAAAAAAAGCACGTAAAAAGGATATTTCTGCTCCTCCAAAATGCAAAAACATAACACTTTCAAAAAATAAAAAACTTCATTTTCAACAAGAAGTTCTCAAACAGTATTATCTCCTAGTAATACAATTAATACAACCAACAATAATAACTTTCAACAATCTTTATCAGATGAAAATTCATCTTCTTCTGAATCATCTGATAAAAGTAGTTTATCATTAATTAATAAGCAAACCATGTCTACTACTTTACCAAATAAAAGATTTTGGTCTGCACCACCTATAAATGAAAGTAATTATTTAGCTGGTAATTATTTTATTATTTTAAAAAATAATAAATTTTATTTTATATATTTATATTTTTAAACTTTTAATATAATTGAAGAGTATAATAATAACGATACTCAACAACAATTGTTTAATATAATTGAAGATAACAATAATAATAATAATACTCAACCTTTTAATGCAATCAAAATAATAATAATAATCAGCAAGATTCTAGTAAGAAAATAATTGAAGTTGATGATAACAATGATATTCAACAACATTCAGGTAAAAATTAATTAATTAATTTATTTTTTAAAAAAACAAATATAAAATTTCATAATATAATTTTTTTATTTAATAAAGATACTCAAGTGATGTCTGATAATATACTTAATAATCCTATTTCAAAATCTAAAAAAATGGTATATATATTTATTTAAGTATTTATGTATATGACACCAGGGGATATTGATATCCACCTCCTAATTTTTAATAAAAAATAGTTTTTTGCTAAAATTTAGGGTTAGAGTGCAGTTTAATACCAAAATAGGGGTCAGA